GTGGCACAGAAGCCATGTGATGCCATGTGATGCCATGTGAGCTCTTCCCTGTGTGCCCCGTGCCCATCCCACTCCTCTCACTGGCAGTTCTTCGAGGGGAAGGAGCTGCGTCTGAAGCAGGAATACTTTGTTGTGGCTGCCACCCTGCAGGACATCATCCGCCGCTTCAAAGCATCCAAATTCGGGAGCACAGAAAGCGTGCGCACCGTGTTTGACTCCTTCCCAGACCAGGTACAGAGCTGGACTTGATCCACCGCATGCCTCCAGCCCAGCAATCCACCTCCCCGTTCTTGTGTTGCCATTTGGTGAACTCAAGACCAGACTGATGTGGGTGATGGGTGCTGCCGTGTCCCCGCAGGTCGCCATCCAGCTGAACGACACGCACCCTGCCATGGCCATCCCTGAGCTGATGAGGATTTTTGTGGATATTGAGAAACTGCCCTGGAGCAAGGTTGGGGGATGTGGGAATGGGTGCTGCACCCCCTCCTTGTGTATAGGGGCCATACACCCGTTAATAGGATGGTAGGACAAGAGTATGGCCCTAAGCTGTGCTGGGGAGAGTCAGGTTGGATAGTGGGGAAACATTTCTTCTCCAAAAGAGCGGTGCTGCAGTGGCACAGCTGCACATGGAGTGGTGGGGTCACCGTCCCTGGAGGTGTTCCAGAGCTGTGGGATGTGGCACTGAGGGATGTGGGCATGGTGAGGTGGTTTGGGGGATCTTGAAGTGCTTTTCCAACCTCAGTGATTCTGTGATTCTAGTTAAGCAGCACATGGGAGCAGGTGGGGTTCAACAAGCAGCTCGGGAACATTTCCACTGTTGGAAAATCTCCAGTGGGTGCTGGGGAGGGATGAGCCTATGCTGCCCACCTGAGCCATGCTGGGGCCATGGTTCTGGGTGTAGGAACACATGTGGGTGCTCACACTCAGCTGGGTGCCCTGGAGCTGTCCCTGATGCCACTCTTCTGCTTGCAGGCCTGGGACATCACCAAGCGGACATTTGCCTACACGAACCACACCGTGCTGCCCGAAGCCCTGGAGCGCTGGCCGGTGGACCTGGTGGAGAAGCTGCTCCCCAGGCACCTAGAAATCATCTATGAGATCAACCAGAGGCACCTGGATGTGAGTGGGTTGGGGGCTCTGGGTGATGGGGGTCGCACTATGGGGATGGGGACAGTGCACAAACCGTGCTGTGTGGCTGGTGGCTGGGTGGTTCTGCAGCTCTTTGGGGAGGCTGGTAAGTAGGAACTGGGTGAAGCAATGCAAAGCCCTTCTTGTTGCCATAAAGTTACTCAGACAGGTTGTGGGTTCTCCTTGGAGACCTTCATGGGGCTGAGCACCAGCTCTGGGTGTCCGTGCTGGAGCAGGAGCTCAGCCAGAGGGACCCAGAGTTCCCTGCTAGCCACAGCGTTCTATATTGCTATCCACTGTTGGTGGCTGTTAAAATACTTAAAATGCTTCAGGGACTTTCAAGTTGACATTTCTTTGCTCCTTGAGCACTAAATTCATCCTGGAAAAGGATGAGGATGGCTTGAACCCCATGGAGAAGGTTCACACCATCACCCAGTAAAAGCCATCACTCTGGCTGGCACCGAATGCATTGAGGACATCACTGTGGTCCCCTCCTTGGGTGCTGGTCTGTTGGGTTGGCTGCTCACCCCCTCCCCTCCTGGCCACCCCCCACAGCACATCGCATCCCTCTTCCCCAACGATGTGGACCGGCTGCGGAGGATGTCCCTGATAGAGGAGGGAGGCACCAAGAGGATCAACATGGCTCACCTCTGCATCGTCGGCTCCCATGCTGTCAACGGAGTGGCCAAGATCCACTCTGAGATCGTCAAGTCTGAAGTGTAAGGGTGGGTGGGATGCAGTGGGGGGTCGCCCCGGGCACAGAGCTGACGTTGCCCCCTCCTTGCCCTTGCAGCTTCAGGGACTTTGCAGAGCTGGAGCCGGACAAGTTCCAGAATAAAACCAATGGCATCACCCCACGGCGCTGGCTGCTGCTCTGCAACCCGGGGCTGGCCGAGCTCATTGCAGAGGTACGGGTGGCTCTGCACGTGGCTCCCAGCCTTGGGAGTCATCATAGAGACATAGAACAGCTTGGGGTTGGAAGGGAACTCGAGGATCAAGGTTGTGGATGCCCCATCCCTGGAAGCATTCAAGGCCAGGCTGGATGTGGCTCTGGGCAGCCTGGGCTGCTGGTTGGTGACCCTGCACACAGCAGGGGTTGGAACTGGATGAGCAGTGTGGGCCTTTGCAACCCAGCCCATTCTGGGATTTTGTGATCATTGAGTTCCAGCCCTGAGCTGGGTACGAGCCAGCAGCATGTACTTGCTTTGAGGTCCCTTCCAATCCAACCCATTTTCTGAACTCCTATGTGGCCTCAGTCCATCGGTGCTTTGTGGTCACGACGTGGCTGTGCTCCTCTCACAGAAAATAGGGGAGGACTACGTGCGGGACCTGAGCCAGCTGGCAAAGCTGCACGAGTTTGTGGATGACGACCTGTTCATCAGGGAGGTTGCCAAAGTGAAGCAGGTGAGGAGCGCTGATAAGGGGAGCGCGGATTTGGATAAGGGGGCATGGATTTGGATAAGGGGGCATGGATTTGGATAAGGGGGCATGGATTTGGATAAGGGGCATGGATTTGGATAAGGGGCATGGATTTGGATAAGGGGGCATGGATTTGAGGATGTGGATCTGGGGGGTGCAGGGCTGACGCCCGCCCTGCCCTTGACCAGGAGAACAAGGTGAAGTTCGCACTGTACCTGGAGAAGGAGTATGGGGTGAAGATCAACCCCTCCTCCATGTTTGATGTGCACGTGAAGAGGATCCACGAGTACAAGCGGCAGCTGATGAACTGCCTGCACATCATCACCATGTACAACCGTAAGGCCCCGCGGGGATGGGCAGGGGGTGGGTGGGAGATGGCACACAGCTGGGCAGGGGACAGGCAGGAGCAGGCACACAGCTGACAGTGTTGCTTCTCCTCCAGGCATCAAGAGGAACCCTACGAAGCTCTTTGTCCCTAGGACGGTGATCATTGGAGGCAAGGTAAGCTGTGTTTGGGGGAAGCCCTCGGAATGCCCTACAAGGGAGTCCCCAGCACTCCAGTTGGCCCACCATGGCTCTATCCCTAGGCTGCCCCGGGGTACCACATGGCCAAAATGATCATCAAGCTCATCAACGCCGTGGCCCAAGTGGTCAACAACGACCCCGTTGTGGGGAGCAAGCTGAAGGTCATCTTCTTGGAGAACTACAGGGTCTCCCTGGCAGAGAAGGGTACGTCCTATAGGGGAACGCCAGTGCTATTGGCCTGCATCCTTCAGCATGGCCTTGGTGAGCCCTTTGCTGTGTGCTCTGTTGGCAGTGATCCCCGCCACCGACCTGTCGGAGCAGATCTCCACAGCGGGCACCGAGGCATCGGGCACAGGGAACATGAAATTCATGCTGAATGGGGCCCTGACCATCGGCACCATGGATGGAGCCAACGTGGAGATGGCTGAGGAGGCCGGAGAGGAAAACCTCTTCATCTTTGGGATGAGAGTGGAGGACGTGGCGGAGCTGGACAAGGATGGGTGAGGGATGAGGACGTGGTGGGGACACGTGGGGGGCACTGGGGTTGGCATGGGCTCACGATTTCTGCTCCCCAGCTACAATGCCCAGCAGTACTACGACCGGCTCCCCGAGCTGAAGCAGGCTGTTGACCAGATCCGGAGTGGCTTCTTCTCCTCGGATGAGCCAGACCTCTTCAGGGATGTGGTTGACATGCTTTTCCATCACGACCGGTGAGGTTCACGGCTGGGATGCCACCCATCCCTGGGTTCCAGCTCCATATCACAGTTATTCAGGTTGGAGAAGACCTCTGAGATCCTCAAGCCCCCCCTCCACTGCCCACGTCCCTCAGTGCCACATCTCCACAGCTCTGCAGCACCCCCAGGGATGGTGACCCCACCACACCTGGGCAGCTGTGCCAGTGCCAACCACTCTTTCAGAGAAGAAATTGTTCCTAATATCCAACCCAAACCTTCCCGTTGCGGCCATTAACCCACATCCTAAAGAAGACCAATACCCATGCAGAGCAGCCCTACACCCACTGCCTGATAGTATCCCATTTCCTGCCCTGACTCCTGTGTACAGGGAACAGCAATTTTTTGTGTACCCCTGGTACAAAAGTCTCTCTGTGCTCAGCCCTTCAGCTGGGCTGCATTAAACCTGCACTAAGGCTGGAATGCATTCGGGTGCACAGCCCTTCATAGAATCACAAGGGCTTGACTTGGAAGGGACCTCAAGGATCACGAAGCTCCAACCTCCCACCACAGGCAGGGCCACCAACCTCCACATTTCATAGCAGCCCAGCCCTTGCCAGATGATAGATGCCTTCAGGTATCTCAAGGGCTTTTCTAGCAGGCTGTGATTCAGTAGTGGCTAGGGAAGGTTAATATATCTGAAGCATCCATTCGAGCGTCCCATTCCTCCATGCCAGCCGCGCTGCCACCCTGCTCTCCCTAACTCCTCCATTCTCTGCTGCCTCAGGTTTAAAGTCTTTGCAGATTACGAGGCTTATGTCAAGTGCCAGGAGAAAGTCAGCGAGCTGTACCTGGTGAGTGCGAGAGGGGACAGGGAAGGTGTCTGCTGTGGGAGACCCCATAACAGCACTGGGCTGTGCGGATGGGCACCCACAGCTACAGCCCTCCCTCCATCCCTGTTCTCTCGCAGAACTCCAAAGCGTGGACCAAGATGGTCATCAGGAACATCGCAGCTGCAGGCAAGTTCTCCAGCGACCGCACCATCAAGGAGTACGCACGGGACATCTGGCACGTGGAGCCCTCCGACCTGAAGATCCCAGCGCCCAACGAGCCACGGGAGGGGGCTGAGGACAGGACCCCCAACGGCACTGCAGCACGGGCATAGGGCAGGGGAGGAGCACAGAGCTGAAAGCGAAACCATTCCGACCCATTGCTTGCGGTAGGGGCTCAAACTAAAAGTGCTGCGCGGAAGCGGAGTGGGGGGGTTGCTGGAGATGGAATGAGGAAGTGGGCTTGCTCGCTGCAAAGCTGATCGCTCAAAGTGCAGGGGATGGGGTATTTGCAGTGCACCCTCACCCTGCTTCTGGTTCCTGCTTGACCCCTCTGTCCCTGCAGCTGTGTCTCCATCCCCCGAGCATCCCGCAGCAGTGGGAGGATGAGCGTGGCTCTCAGTGTTTATTACATACAGCAGTAGTAGGATCAGTGCCACGGTGGGGTCCCAGTGCAGGGCAGGGGCAGTGCTTATGGGCGCTGCAGGCAGCAGCTGGAGTCATTTCATGTTCAAGAAGTCTCTGCAACGAGATGCAATAAACCTCACGCTGTGTCACTCACTCACCCCTGCTGCTCATTTCATATCCCATGGGGGCTGTCCCTGCGTCACCCCATGTGTCACTGCGGTGATGATGGGTTTGGAGTAGTGATGGGGGCTCAGCAAATTGATGCCAGTGAGTGCCGTGGGATGGGGCGGGATGGGGATGGGGTGGGATGGGGATGGGGATGGGATGGGGATGGGGATGGGATGGGATGATTCTCCGTGGAACTGTGAAGGAGCACAGGGAAGGGTTGTGCTGTGCCCCACGTTTCTGCAGAGCAACACTTACTTCACCAGGGTGGGCAGCTCTGGGTTGGATGAGATGTAGTCGTGGCCCAGCCCCAGCTTCTCAGGGAAGGTGATGAGCTTCACCTTGCTCTTGTCCTTGTAGGCTCTGCGTGCGGTCTCGAAGAGCTGCAGTGGGGTGGGAGCAGGGTTAGTGGCACAGGATCCCAGGGGGGTCCCAATCCCCCTCCCTGCCTTTTAGCCCCCAGTGCAGGTGACCCACCTGGCGTCCCAGCTGGGGGGGCAGCACGGTGTCATCCTCTGCGTGCAGGATGAGCAGCGGGCAGGCCAGCACCTTCACACTGTAGGAAGGGGTCAGCATGGGGCTGCACAAGCCTCTCCTGCCCCATTAACCCCCCCTTAATATGACCCTAGCCCCCCAGCCACCCCCCATTGCCTTTGAGGGTCACCCTTGGTGTCCAAGGCTGCTGATGGGCAGTGCTCAGGGTGCTCACCCTGGGTCTGAGCACCTGATAATGTAATAATAATAACCCAAAACACTGTTCAGGGATGCTCTGACTGGAAAAGCACCCACAGACCATTCAGCTTTAGCAAAGATGTCCGTGAAGGCCAAGCCAAGAGGACCCCATCACCATAATGTTCATCTCCAACACCATGTTGCCAAGTGGGCAGCATTCAAATACATTACTCTCAAAAAAATAAAACTAATGGTGATGCAGTGGCACAGCTGCCCAAGGAGGTGGTGAAATCACCGCCCCTGGAGGGGTTCAGGAGCTGTGGAGATGTGGCACTGAGGGACGGGGGCAGTGGAGATGGGCTGAGGTTGGGGATGTCAGAGGTCTTCTCCAATCTGAATGGTTCTATGACCAGATGGTGAACTTGGCTCGATAGTAAGGTTGGTATCTGCCCTTATACAAATAAAAGTCACTTTTAAGGCATGACTAAGCTGAGCAAATACAACTTGGATCACACCATGGTGTGGAACACCCCGCCCAGCTCCTGCTCTCCCTGTGCCCTCACCCCGTCCCACTGGGCACTCACTTCTCATCGTTGCGGAAGAACATATTGCCCAGAGCCATGGAGTCCAAGATCAGGTACTCGAAACCTGGGAACTGCCGATAAATCTGCCCAGGAGAGAGCAGGGCACCCACTGAGTTGCTGTCAGGGGGATGCAGTGCCAGGATGCAGTGCCACGGTGCAGGGACCTGTGCTCACCTTAGTGATGGGAATGTTGGCAGCTGCGTCGCGGATGTTGGTGTAGGGGGACTCCAGCACAACAGCGTCCACCTGGACCCCTGGGAGCAGCATGGGGTAGGAGTCAGATGGGACATCCCCGTCCCCAGAAGGAGGATGGGGACAGACGATTGTCCCCACTTGATGATACTTGAGGAGAGTGATGCAGCCCCCCAACTCCTGCTGTCCAAAACGTGGTGTTACCTCGCTCCTCCTGCAGCTTTCTGGCCGCGTTTGTTGCGATCCTACAACAAAGGAGGTGGTAATTAATGGGGGGGGGGCCCCTCCAGCACACCCCCCACCTGGCCCCACACCTACCCTGTCCCCAAGGAGTGTCCCCAGAAGATGATGGAGCTGTTCCCACTGCGTGCTTTGGCCCAGTCGTACAGTGCCAGGACGTCGGTGGTGAAGCCGCTCTCCGAGGGGTGCCCACTGGAGTCCCCATAGCCTGCAGGGACATGTTCCCACATCACCACCCAGAGGGGACAGACCTCAGGGTGAGGGGTGAGGGGTGGCCGTACCTCTGTAGTCCAGAGCCAGGATGTGGAAACCGGCAGCCCCCATCAGCTGTAGGACACGGGACAGCATTCATTAAGGTGTCCCCATGTCACCTCCCATGTGCAAGGCACCTCCCAGCCCCCACTTACCTTCATAAACTGGATCCGGTGGCTCGCAGCCCTGGTGGGGAAAGAAAGGATAAAGCAAAGATAAAACACAGGGTGCCTTCCCCTTTTAGCAGAGTGGGGCCAGCTGGGGGACCACTGTCATGTTGGACAAGTGACAGTTCTACACCCATGGGAGCAAAAGAGGAGCACCCAGCTCTCACATGGGACATCACCATTTGCCCATCGGGTTGGGCAGCCACAGGTACTTGCCTGGTGCCCCCGTTACCGTGCAGGTAGATGATGATGGGGTGAGCATCACCCAGAGCCTCCTCGAACCAGCGCTGCTCCCGACCTCGCGCCTCAGTCCCACTGCTGCCCGGCACCGTGTGCCTGCGGGGACAGACACGGCTCATCCCCAACCCACAGCCACCAAAGGGAGGACAAGGAGCTGGGACACCCTGCTCACCAGATGCCAACGGTGACGCCCGGCTCGGTGGGCAGGTAGAGGCTGATGGTGTTGTTCAGCAGCAGCGCCGGCTGCCGCAGGTCCGCGAAGAAAGGGAATGCCACTGCAGGACATGGCACGGCCAGGGGTTGGATGAGACGATCCCAAATGGTCTCTTCTAACCTCAACCAGTCTGTGATTCTGCTTTGGTTCATCTCTCAGTTGCATTTGGCTTTGTTTTGTTGGCTTTTTTTTGGACATAATTCACCCCAAAGACCAAACCCCATTGGAGCACGTCCTGCCATAGGGACATGTTGTATACCCAGATGTGTTGCAATATCTGGCAACAAGCAGCGTCGCTTGCAAAACACAGGGTGCCCAATGGAGAGCTGCTGTGAGCCCTGTGAGCATACCATGCATATTTTGGGACCCCCCCCCAAACCTCCACCCCAAAAAAACAGTGCCCTGCGTGCTACTGCTTAAGGCGAGCTCTCAGTGCTGGGGTACTCACTGAAGTTTAGGAAGACAAATTTGGTGAGGATGACAGGGAAGAGGCGGACGAGGAAGGGCACGGAGATGTACATGAGGAGCAGCTGCAGGAGGACGGTGCGCAGTCGGGGGCACCAGCCCAGCCAGCCCCTGTGGGATGCAACACAGTCAGCATGGCCCCTTTGGACCCAAGTGTCTGTCCCAAGGCCAGGCCCTGAGGTCAGGTTTGTCCTCCCAAGACCAGGGACTCACATTGGGTTCGTTTTCTCCATTGCTGATTTATGGCTGTGCTCCCCCTAAGTTTGGTTTTAGGGGATGGAGCAGAGCCCTCGGATTCAGCATCACTGGAGGCCACCACCCGGTCCCCCACAGCCTCCCACGGGGACACGAGTGGGCAGGAAGGGCAGGGCACATGCCAACGCTGTGACAACACCCAGAGCCCAGAGGTGACAGAAGTGTCCTAAAGTTGGGGACAAGGAAGGAGCTGGGAAATGGCCCAGGGAGACCCGTGCTGCAGGCAAACAATACGAAGAGCAGATGAGGGATGCCATCAGCATGGCAGTGATGCTCCAACAGCACCCCTAATCCTCATCTCATCCCAAAGGACTGGGGACACATCCACACCCTCCACAGCTGCAGCAGTTTTGAAATGAACACCCAGGAGGCTTGGAAATGCCAAACTCTTGCAGCTTATAGAATCACCCTAAGCATGGTGATGGGGCAACCAGCAGGGATTTGGGGCAGAGGTATCTGCGTGCGTCAAAGCAGATCTCAGCAGCACTGCAGGGTTGTGCTAGGGCGGATTTGGCACCACAGCCTCAGGCAGTCCTGCAGGGAAGGGCTGCAAAGGGCAGTTCGATGCCACTGGAGAGTGCAGAACCCTGCATGCTGCACCAACGGGGCTCACCATCGTTAGGGCTAATTACCGGGTGCTGCACCCCGTCAGCAAGTGCAGGGGCGAGGGCTCACACCCTGCTTGCACAACATCCCGCAGGTGGGGCAGGTAGGGCCAGGGCAGGGGGCAGCACGGAGGGATGGCACAGCCGCGGCAAAGGGAAACGGTGTGAGGAGGGGTGACACGGGGACACGGTATGGCAGAGGGACCCGAGGACACGGGATGGGGTCAGGGTACTGTGTGACACTGGGACATGGCCATGACATGGAGCTTGGCCAAGGAAAAGTGATCGTGAAGGTCAGGGGCACAAGGCTGTGAGGGCTGGGGAACGCAAGGCCACAGAGATCGGGGCCACATGGCCATAGCGGGGCGGCTCTGCCATTGGGGCACACGTGGCCACACGCCCGTGGATATAGGGTTACGCCACAGGGCACGGCGGAGATGCCTGGCACGCAGTAACCCCGAGGCGGAGCTGGGGACCGGGGACCAGAGCCGGCTACTCACCGCCGAGGTCGCTCCGCTCTCCCCTCCGCCGCCCGCCCGCTGCCATCGCCGTTCCCGTGTTCCGCAGCCTCCGCTCCGCCGCGCCGCCGCATCGCGCCGTCCGACTGCCGCCCCGCCGCTAGGCCACGCCTCCGCCGCTAAGCCACGCCCCTCCCGGCTCAACCCGCCACTCACAGCGTCGCTCTTCATCTAGGCCACGCCTCCCGGATGCTAAGCCACGCCTTCTCTCGTAGGCCTCGCCAATCACAGCCTGGCTCCTGCCCCAGAGCCCCGCCCACTCCCCGCGGGACACTCCCACGTGCAGCGCCGCGGAGCAGCGGTGGGGCGTTGGGGGGGTGGGGAGGGGGGAAGAATAAATAATGAATAAAATAAAAATGATAAAAGCCAACCGAACCAAAATAATATCAACAATAATAACAATACATCAAAATAAAAAATAATAAAAATTAAAAAAATATAGATAAGAACCAAGAGACGGAGCCGGGACTGAGCAGCAGCAGGCCCAGGAATGCGCTGGGTCGGACGTAGGATGGCAGCACCGAGCTGCAGGCGGACGCCTATCACCATTGTTTTTGTACAAGAATAAAGAAATAACCATCAAAGTTTGGGCTTATTCCATCCCCGACCTCTCTCCGCTCCGGCTGTAGGGCTCCTCTCGGCTGTTACCCCGTTGCTATACGCCTCTCTTGCTCACGTTTACTGCTGTTTGTAGGTTTGCTGCTTTAATGCACTGGAGGCGGCTGTGGGGTTTTTCCCCTTGCAGCAGAAATCAGCCCCAGAACAGAACAGCGAGCTGCTGTGCGGAGGAGTGGGGCACAAAGCAGCACAGCGCAGTGCGAGTGGGGCCGGGAGGGGGGTTTTGTAGGGTCTCCTGCCCAGCAATGGGGCCGCACATTGCTGGCACAGGTACACACAAGGCCCGGCCCCGTTCCTGCTCGGCAAGCCTGGCTTTGCCCAGATTGCTGTTCTTCTGCCTGCGTCACTTGTGATGGCGTCGGAGAGCGGAGGTTTCCTTCCTGTGAGCTCACACTGCAGGCTCAGCGCTCAGCTGCAGCTGTGAGGCTGCTCAGAATTAAAGGCTGTGCAAGGACGGCTTCATCCTACAGGGATAGGGGGAATACGGTGGGATGGCTCTGCCAGCAGCCAGCCCTAAAAGGGAGTTAGGGGAATTTGCATCCTCTAACGCTGTCAAACCCGTGGGTGGGCAGGGAGATGGGGATGTGGGGATGTGGAATATGGGATACGGGGATGTGGGGATGTGGGGAAATGGGGCCATAGGGACATGAGGGTTTGGGGAATTGGGAAAGGGAGGATATAAGGATGTGAGGAGGTAGGGATGTGAGACAAGTGGGCACACAGGGACATGAAGACGTGGGGACTTGGGGACATGGGGACATGGGGATGTGGAAATATGGTGACATAAGGATGTTGGGACATGAGGACACAAGGATATAGGAATATGGAGACTTGAGGATGTAGGGACACAGGGATGTGGGCACGTGGAGATGTGGAAAAGTGAGGATATGGAGATGTGGGGAAATGGGGATGTGGGACGTATGGGCACAGAAACATGAGGACATGGGGATTTGGGGACTTGAGGAAGGAGGGACATGGTGGCATGGTAACACAGAGGCATGGGGACATGGGGACACAGGGGCATTGGGGACGTGGGGTCACGTGGACACAGGGACGTGGGGTCATGGGGGTGTGGGGATGTGGGGATGCCATGGATGCTGCCCAGCCCTGCTGCCCACCCAGCTGCACACACACAGCCACGCAGAGGCTTTGTTTGGTGGCGGCGGTGATTTTGGGGCAGTGCTGTGGATTAGCACAGCACGGTGGGGAGGGGTGTGGGGGATAAAGGTCCTGGCACTCGCCGTGCTCCAACAAAACAAAGCAGCAGATGGTTCCAGCTCCGCATAATGCGCAGTGAAAAAAAAAAAGGGGGG